GATTCCTCAAAGTTTGACGCCCTTGGTTTGAAACGTCAACAAATAACCGGTATAAATGCTACTAACACTTATTTAATTTTCTCTCAGAAACTGCCAATAAAACCAATTTGCATGGGAGACAACTCTTTAAAGCATATCACGCCTGTTTGACATTACTGAATGGAGTTACCTCCCCTAGACCAAGTCAAACAGAAAAAAAATGCCTAATCGTGGATTTCCTAGCCCAACTGTTAGTGAGCAGAAAGGGGGATCTGGTTGGATGTACTTCGTCAAAGGTACGAAATGCACATTTATAATTACTAGTCCGAGTCCTATATCACGCATGTTTGTTATTATTGAATGGAGTTACCTCCCCTAGACCAAGTCAAACCGAAAAAAAAATGCCTGATCGTGGATTTTCTAGCCCAACTTGCCCAAGCAATCAGAATCCCAACCTGACATAAATATCCAATATTTTTGAAAAATAATAATATAAATAATAATAAATAATAATCACTTTATTTCGAAAGGGTAGGAAAATAGGCCTGGGGCCTTTCTTACATTTCCCCTTTAATTAAAATAATATTATCTTTTACATGACAGTGTCTGAGTGTCCGTATTTCAAAACAGCGCTATAGCTAGGCTACTTCTTTCATGGGGTGGGTTCAGAAAATTTATGCTCACATGAACAAGCAACCTCCCAACCTTTGATACCAAAAATAAAAATGACCGGAATCGACTTGACAAAAACTTGGTAACGGAAACAATAACCCATGAAATTAACACATAATTCAACTTTTTTGGAGATAATTAACCTCAGTAGATAATTTGTTCTTTTCATACGTATGGTGTTTACTACCAGCCCTAAATACTTTATTATCTGTTTTATCAAATTTTCTTGAAAAATAAAATACCTCAAAAAGTCTGTAATCGTTCATGGTTCACCTGGCTCCGACAGGAATTGGCTTCCGCTGTGGTCCACGAGCTTCCATTAGATTACCGGCGGGCTCAGTGAAATGATCTTAACAAAACATATCCATTACTCTCAATTAGACATTATTTAAAAAAAATAATCCAAACAAAAATGAAAATTTCACCTAAATGTCTCTTATGTTCTAGTGGACCAATAGTGAAACGTTTAAGAAAAAAATAATGTTGTACGCAGAAGTTGAATTAACTCAATGTATGAGGGGGGTAAAGGGGGCGTTCTTAAGTGATGGAGGAAGGGTTAAGGGTCTTCTTAAGCAGTGTTTTTGATGACATCTGAGTTTGTTATTCACGAAAGTTGATCGTGGTACGCAACAGTCAAATTAAACAAATGGGAAGGGGACCGGCAACTTAAGAATCAAGGTTCAGAGTATCGGGTACCGTTTACCCCTCACCTATCATAGAGATTTTGTACGCAATTTTCGAAATAACCTGAACCTAGTTCCCTTACAAATATTATTTCATCTAAAACAAATCCATTATATCAGGTGTACATGACGAATAAAAATAAAGTCTTTAACTGGGCATATGATATTAAATATTTATTGGAATCTCTTGGATTTGCCCCAGTTTTCAATAATCAATATGTTGTTTTACCTGTATATAAAGAACTTAAACTTAAATTAAACCATCAGAAGTTACAAGAATGGAATGAAGATCGCTCGAAATATTCAAAGCTAAATTACACTTTATTTCAAACTCATTAGCAAAATATATAAATTTATCATTTATTAAGCGCCAGTTTATTGTTTTAAACTATTTGTGTGGTAGAGCGAATTTATTTATTTTATGGGTATTTTAATATGATCACAATGCTAATGAAATCTTAAGTAATATGTCACACATCACTGCACCTTGAAAGATGGGTTCCCAGAAAAGTATTAATCGGGTGGTTATTTCCAATAAAAGTATGGCAATTTTGGTATATGGAAAGTAGAGATATCCAATCTTACTAGAAAAATACTGGATTCCCCGAAAAACACGCATGGAGCGTATACAGGACAAAAATGTAAGGGTTCCCCTGATCAACAGCCCGACGATTAGGAACTTATGCACGCTTGATGTCAAAGGTCACAAGCGAACATTGAGCGCTTGATGTACAAGTTGATAAACTTTATGAAGACTTAGACATACAATACTTTATGGGATAAAAATGACGGAAAAAGACGCGGGTAGTGGATAATCCGAGAATTTAATTAGGATTCGATATTTGTAATAAATAGTAAGCGATTAAAGAAAACATCGTCTTATGTATGCAATGAATTCTCCTCTGACTCCCAAGAAGTGACGTAAACATTACCTGGTTTGATCGAATTTTAATAGCAGGGCATTCCTTCGCAAATACAATGTTTGAGAAGGATTTGAAGCATAATTATGACAAATTAATTAGTTTGAATATGTTTTTGGTCCATATATATGGAAGGGGATCGACGCCACATTAAAAGACATGTAAACACGAGTAGAAGTTTCTATGTCAGCATATGAAAGTGTTGTTTTGATGATTTTTCCATGTTCGATTTTACAAAATAGAAAAGTATTGTCCACTAACGAAAAAACACATGTACAAATGCGCCTTGTAACGTTTGTATTTTCTACATCTGATCTTTCAACTGTTGTAATTTCTACTAGTGCATAATCGACATATGTAACTTCGACATCGGTATTTTCTTCCAATGTAATTTCTCCACATGTCACATCCATCAAGGCGTGGTTTCGATTTTAGCCGAAGCTTGCGTCATAAAAACAAAACCTCCCTTCAAGTAGTCTCGGTCATCCAGACAATATGGCTCCTCCGCGATAGCTCCCTCGACTAACGGGCTTGGATGACCGAGGCTACCCTTCGAGGAAAGTCATTCCTACTACCAGAAAGTTGCATGGGGAGCATCAATAATTTTTAACGGAAGTTAACACTAACATATTGTTTTATGCTAAATTTTAATACAACTTTTAATAGTTGCTAAAAATCCCAGACAGTTGGAAATTGTTAGAGATACTGATAGTACTAGTAGTAGTAGGCCTAGTGATTCATTTCATAGACATAGTCTAGCTAGGGCTAGGCGAGTTATTGATGGATGTCCTGACAAAATTTCCCTCATTGCACCCTGCATGGTATATGCCAGTCTTCATTAGCCAATACAAAAAATACATCAAAATAGGACGTTAAACCCCATTTCATTGACCATGTGGTATCTACGGCGTCTACGCGTGAAACTATAACGACTGAACGAGTGTAGAACTGTAGTGTAGATAGTGCTACCATCTGACAACCAAAAAAAGAAGAAAGACCTGTGTCACTTATGTAGTATATTTGTACGCTTATGTGCTCTAAGAACAAGTTTTTTGTGGAAGATATTCAAACATAAATATACCTGATTATTATTGTCCATGGCTACGATTGATCGATGTCACCAATGTGGAGCAGACGACAGGACCGACAGGGGCGGTTCTTTATTCGAAACTATAACTATGCATTCAAAATTATGTTAACGACATGAACACCAGAAATGGTGAATTCAAGACACATAAAAATAACAAAGAAAGCAAACTATTAAAAGTTGTATTAAAATTTAGCATAAAACAATATGTTAGTGTTAACTTCCGTTAAAAATTATTGATGCTCCCCATGCAACTTTCTGGTAGTAGGAATGACTTTCCTCGAAGGGTAGCCTCGGTCATCCAAGCCCGTTAGTCGAGGGGTATGGAAGGGGATCGACGCCACATTAAAAGACATGTAAACACGAGTAGAAGTTACTATGTCAGCATATGAAAGTGTTGTTTTGATGATTTTTCCATGTTCGATTTTACAAAATAGAAAAGTATTGTCCACTAACGAAAAAACACATGTACAAATGCGCCTTGTAACGTTTGTATTTTCTACATCTGATCTTTCAACTGTTGTAATTTCTACTAGTGCATAATCGACATATGTAACTTCGACATCGGTATTTTCTTCCAATGTAATTTCTCCACATGTCACATCCATCAAGGCGTGGTTCCGATTTTAGCCAAAGCTTGCGTCATAAAAACAAAACCTCCCTTCAAGTAGTCTCGGTCATCCAGACAATATGGCTCCTCCGCGATAGCTCCCTCGACTAACGGGCTTGGATGACCGAGGCTACCCTTCGAGGAAAGTCATTCCTACTACCAGAAAGTTGCATGGGGAGCATCAATAATTTTTAACGGAAGTTAACACTAACATATTGTGTTATGCTAAATTTTAATACAACTTTTAATAGTTGCTAAAAATGTGACATGTGGAGAAATTACATTGGAAGAAAATACCGATGTCGAAGTTACATATGTCGATTATGCACTAGTAGAAATTACAACAGTTGAAAGATCAGATGTAGAAAATACAAACGTTACAAGGCGCATTTGTACATGTGTTTTTTCGTTAGTGGACAATACTTTTCTATTTTGTAAAATCGAACATGGAAAAATCATCAAAACAACACTTTCATATGCTGACATAGAAACTTCTACTCGTGTTTACATGTCTTTTAATGTGGCGTCGATCCCCTTCCATACGAGGGAGCTATCGCGGAGGAGCCATATTGTCTGGATGACCGAGACTACTTGAAGGGAGGTTTTGTTTTTATGACGCAAGCTTCAGCTAAAATCGGAACCACGCCTTGATGAATGTGACATGTGGAGAAATTACATTGGAAGAAAATACCGATGTCGAAGTTACATATGTCGATTATCCACTAGTAGAAATTACAACAGTTGAAAGATCAGATGTAGAAAATACAAACATTACAAGGCGCATTTGTACATGTGTTTTTTCGTTAGTGGACAATACTTTTCTATTTTGTAAAATCGAACATGGAAAAATCATCAAAACAACACTTTCATATGCTGACATAGTAACTTCTACTCGTGTTTACATGTCTTTTAATGTGGCGTCGATCCCCTTCCATACATATATACCATTAAATCATCCAGTTTGTACGCGGGAACTCATCTTTAAACGGTCCTGTTCTGTACACTCTTCTTAAAGGTATCCAGTGAGTTCGAGTTCATCCTCTGCTCACTGGGGGTTCATTTTCACCTTTGACCCGAAGGTTTCGTGGATTTGTATTTATCATTTCCTTGGTCACTCTTAGATAGAATTTTGTAGAATAGGGTTGCATGTTTCATTCAATCCTTATATCAGTTTTATACTTAGAGTTTCAGAATTGTCGATTGTTATTTTCACCAATCGTGTGCATTAGTAGCATTATTATCTACAGATTTGTGTTTACAGTTTAAAGGTACGTGTTAATATTAGTTTTATATATATATTTCATTATTCAAAAGGTCTTTGTTAAAGTTGCGGCCATGTTGGCTTTTAGTAAAATTTTCAAATAAGTTAAAGTTAATCTGTTTTTTTTAATTACATTCTGCAAATAGGCTACATTGCATACAATCAACAGTATTAACAATATTTAAAGCACGTGGCTTTAATAATACATTTATTGTCAATACACCTCTTTCATACATTTAATATACAATAACCCATATTTTATTTATTTACAGAGAGCGTATAAGGTACTTCACCTCATTCCAGTCTCTGGCTACTTTCATTTCAAAAACCCTTCTTGGGTAAGAACCTATTTCTATTAGTAAAATTAATTAGTTAAAAATGCATTATGCAAGAGCAAAATCTGCTTATTAGAAGTCTTTCTTTAGGCCTGACATGTTATCTAAATTATCAATTAGACATAAATTAACTTATCCAGACCATAATAAACTCTCGATGTCAAGGCTAGCCTTCGATGTTGGCTGGATTAGATTCCTATATGCCGCTAACGGCCACTTATAATTAAATCAGAAAAAGTGGATAATCGAGACTATGCTGTTTATATTAATGATTTTAGTTATCATGACCGAGACTATGCAAAAATTTCACCCGCTTCTTTCTCGGCTGGGGGGTTGGATGGCTGAATGGTTAGCGTGCGCGCGCTGTATCATAAAGTCTGTCATTGAGTCGACTGGCGTGGTTTCGAATCCCCGGTTGTACGTGGCAAGGAGTAGGGTCGCCTGTCCAACCTCGTGGGTTTTCTCCGGGTCCTCCGGTTTCCTCCCACTGCTAAAGACCCCTACGCGCAAGCGAATTATGTAAATAAAATCAAACCATATTTTAGTCCCGAAATGACCTAGTTTGTGTCGAGTGGACGTTAAACCCCATTTCTCTCTCTCTCTCTTTCTCGGCTCATGGTGGATCAATTTGACTGAAATTTTCAGCAAATTACCTTTACACTATCTAGTTTTTAACTATCATAGCGAGAACTGCCACCTCTTTATCTTATCTCCCATAATATATCTTTAATTTATACCTGCATATTTCATGTTGGTTAACAGGAGGTAGTTTTCCCTTTAAAGTATTGATATAGACTAAATATATATATATAAGTATATGTAAATAGTATTTAGAGGTGTTTTATTATTAAAATGTAATATGTTGTTTTAATGAATATGAATGCATTGATTTTATATGTTTGATTATCTTATTTATATTGAAATTGTATCCTTTCAGAGTTTTGAATGTATAGTAATAAATAAACCGCTGTCATACTGGACCCTTGTGTGGTTAATTTATTCGTAACTTGACTCCCTACAACATTTGTACCATTAACACCTTTACATTACTTGTTTATGTATTGTATTTTTATTTATTTATTGTATTTGGTATAAGTTATGTATAAAAATTACTTACTTGAAATGGCGGATGTGAGAGGACGCTTAAAAATTCGGTCTGAGTAAATTTTTATCCTCGTATGAAGAAACTGACGGATTTATATGTTTCTGCGCAATACCTAGACTATTGGTGTGCCCCCACTAAGCGGATTAGTATATTAAGCGGATTAGGATTAGTTGATAGTGGGCACTTGGAAGGAAAAAAATATAGATATTACTGTATAAAGTTTTATTTTTATTTTTCTGTTTGATATATCATACATCACATTTTACAATTCAATAAAAATATAACATACCAATAATAATAGTTACAACAAGATAAATATGAATTGGTTAAAATTATAATCATAATAGTAAAACATAAACAATAAAAAAAATATCATAATAGTAAAACATAAACAGTAAAAAATCAAAAATCATTCATGTCATTTACAAAGCAGTTAAATGGGCTACGCAATCGGCATATATCAAATAAGGTCTTTATACCGTTTTAAAGATCAGTTTTCAGGGTTTGAAGTCGGCTTTCAAGTTGCCGGTACTTCCTTCTCTTAGGCCGTAATTTGCCGTTGGCACCCAACTGTAGTATGGTGACCTCAGAGTACGCTTGCTCATTCTTAAGGAAATCTACCAACTTGACGATATTTGGGTGAGGGGTGGCAGGAATGGATGCGATCTTCGAATGCCATCCTTCAACATGGTTCGTTGTGCGTTGGCCTTCAGTGTCAAAGTGATTCCACATCATTCTGCCATGCTGCCCCTCCACCCAGAACTCAGTCACATAGTTTGCAAATTGCAACACTCTGGCATCTTGGAGTGGTGCGTCATCAAGAGCATGCAGCCATACATCTTCAACCTGCTGTACTGGAATCAGCGGTAATGCTGCTGCTTGCTTGATGATCTTCTTGATTTCCGGCACTCGAGAAAAATCTGCCTGAAATCCATACTTCTGGGCATTGCGCCAAATGCACTGACCAAAGTGAAAAAAACAACCTTTCAGTTCGGATCTAGTTAACACATTTCTCACAGCATTTTGTACACTAACCTCAAAGTCCGTAAACACATGATCTGGGTTTAGATCAACATTGACAAGTGCCAATGTTTTGTCTCTAACACATCTGAAGAACTCAACATATGTTGTCTCCTTCTTATCGGGTAATAGTGCATACACCAAAGGGAACATTTTATTGTGCACAAAAGCATGTATAGTGTAGATCTGGGTGTACAAGGAAGGGCTCATGTGTTCCATCACAGTATATGGTGTCTGCATTGGCGAGGTGGTAAATATTTTCTGGAGTGGAAAACACCAGGAACCTGTTGTCTGCTGCTGCATGGAGAAGGAAGTCGTCTCCGGATGTGGTCTTGGTGTAGGAGTCTGGAAGCTGGATGTCGTTGCGGGTCTGAGGAAGTGCTGGAAGGATCTTTGCTCGGGCTCTATACAGGGAAGAACCGCAACTGTAGAGTGTTGGTACCTCACTAATCATCTCAGTTGAGTCAGGGTCAGATCGAAGGGCTGTACACAAAATAAGAAAACAAAATATTCATTAATACTCGACAAGACGCTCGATTGATTTGTTTAGAAACAATGTTCATTATGCTTTAACATTGAAGCCTTTAAATCATCGACACTCAAGATTACAGATTTACAAATGAATTCTAAATGCATTGAGATAAATACATACCTGATACTTCCTCTTGATAAATGGCAAAGACTGGTTTGGTTTCCTCTTGCACCTTGGTTTTCATGGCAGCAAGAAATTTGTCAACTGCCACCTTGTGTGGGTTAGCAGCATGGCTGTGGTTTCTGGAATATTTGGTGATGAGGCCATGATGGGTGTTCAGGGTTGCTGGACAACCTCGTATACAACATCTCCAGTATACCCGCTCTTCCTTCCTATTCTTCACACGGAATTTATATCCTCCATAGACTAAGTTTTCTCCTCCCCGGGAATTTGGGATGTACTGGATGTCTACTTGAACGTTTACCATGATGAAATATGGCAGAATGACTTCTGTGTGTCCTTATAAAGACAGTGTAATGTGTGCTGAACATTATTCATATTATATTCAAGTGTAATCATGTTATCATAAAATTCATCAATTTAACGATTAGAGTGAGTTCATCTCGTCAATCATCAGACTGAATATTTAGTCACTTCCAGTTTACTTCTGCAAATGCAGGTGAACTGTAGTTCATATATCAGGAGATATGTGCTAAGTACTGACCACACTAATTAATCCCTTGTTAATCTCTCTATTGTTCCCTCGTTAACGCTTTTTAATCCCTCTATTGTTCCTCGCCTGAGTGAAACTTGTTTTTATTAGAAAAGTGGGCATAGTGGCATGCGACCAGACTATTATCTATGTGAATTTGAAACCTGTGGTGATCCCTAAATTTGTGTTAGGCCTGACATGTTATCTAAATTATCAATTAGACATAAATTAACTTATCCAGACCATAATAAACTCTCGATGTCAAGGCTAGCCTTCGATGTTGGCTGGATTAGATTCCTATATGCCGCTAACGGCCACTTATAATTAAATCAGAAAAAGTGGATAATCGAGACTATGCTGTTTATATTAATGATTTTAGTTATCATGACCGAGACTATGCAAAAATTTCACCCGCTTCTTTCTCGGCTGGGGGGTTGGATGGCTGAATGGTTAGCGTGCGCGCGCTGTATCATAAAGTCTGTCATTGAGTCGACTGGCGTGGTTTCGAATCCCCGGTTGTACGTGGCAAGGAGTAGGGTCGCCTGTCCAACCTCGTGGGTTTTCTCCGGGTCCTCCGGTTTCCTCCCACTGCTAAAGACCCCTACGCGCAAGCGAATTATGTAAATAAAATCAAACCATATTTTAGTCCCGAAATGACCTAGTTTGTGTCGAGTGGACGTTAAACCCCATTTCTCTCTCTCTCTCTTTCTCGGCTCATGGTGGATCAATTTGACTGAAATTTTCAGCAAATTACCTTTACACTATCTAGTTTTTAACTATCATAGCGAGAACTGCCACCTCTTTATCTTATCTCCCATAATATATCTTTAATTTATACCTGCATATTTCATGTTGGTTAACAGGAGGTAGTTTTCCCTTTAAAGTATTGATATAGACTAAATATATATATATAAGTATATGTAAATAGTATTTAGAGGTGTTTTATTATTAAAATGTAATATGTTGTTTTAATGAATATGAATGCATTGATTTTATATGTTTGATTATCTTATTTATATTGAAATTGTATCCTTTCAGAGTTTTGAATGTATAGTAATAAATAAACCGCTGTCATACTGGACCCTTGTGTGGTTAATTTATTCGTAACTTGACTCCCTACAACATTTGTACCATTAACACCTTTACATTACTTGT